CAATGTTACTAAGGAGGTGGTTATGTGTTTCATCAAGAATAATCTTATATGTCGGTATGGTGTGCCGAGCAGAATTATCACCGACAATGGCTCGAATTTGAACAATAAAATGATGACGGAACTGTGCGAACAATTTAAGATTGTCCATCACAATTCATCTCCATACGGGCCAAAGATGAATGGGTATGTTGAAGCTGCTAATAAGAATATCAAGAAGATTATCCAGAAAATAGTCGTTACTTATAAGGATTGGCATGAAATGCTCCCTTTTGCTCTGCATGGATATCGAACATCTGTCCGCACTTGAACAGGAGCAACCCCGTTCTCCCTGGTGTATGGAATGGAAGCTGTACTCCCAGTCGAGGTTGAGATTCCCTCTTTGCGTGTGATAATGGAAACCAAGTTGTCAGAGGCTGAATGGGTCCAGAACCGGTTTGACCAATTGAATTTGATCGAAGAGAAGAGAATGATAGATTTGTGTCATGGACAGTTATATCAGAAAAGGATGAAGAAAGATTTTGATAAGAAGGTAAAACCTTGTGAATTCAGGGAAGGCGACCTCGTGCTCAGGAAGATCATGTCTTTCAACACTGATTCTAGGGGAAAGTGGACTCCCAGCTTTGAAGGCCCATATGTTGTCAAGAAAGCCTTCTCTGGCGGTGCATTAATTCTTGAAACTATGGATGGCGAGGAGTTCCCACATCCTAGGAATGCTGATGTACTCAAGAAATACTTATCCTAAAGAAATAAAAGAAAAAATCGCTAAGTTGAAAACCCGAAAGGGAGGCTTAGGCAAAAAAGAGCATCTCGATAGGCAGAAAACCCGAAAGGGCGGTCTAGGAAAAAATTAGAGACATAAACAGAATAAATTTCCCGCTAAGCTGAAAACCCGCAAGGGCAGCTTAGGAAAAAGTTAGGGACTTTCTTGGCAAGTAACTACATCAAACAAGACTTGATCATTAGAGCAACAATCTTCTCGGATTCTTATCACACTTCAACAGAAGTTGCTGCTCAGGATTTCAAAATGTTGTTAGAGGGGATATTGGTCATTGTATCTCAATGTATCTTTTCCATTATATATTACCATTTTCCGAACTTTGTAATTATACATGGAGTCTCGCCATTCACAGACTACCATTCTATTAATGACATTTGAGCTTTTACCCAATTCTTTATATTTATTATTTTATTTAGCTTGCAAAGACTCCATTTATTATTGATAATAACTTTCAAAGAAAAAAGATTAAATAACAATATCGATTTTTCAAAAATAATTTACAATTTGCTTTTACTTTAGAATTTGTGATGCGAAAAAAACAACAACGACAAAATGGTGATCCCAGGAATGGAAAAACTCCAGTTTGTTTTAAGAAGTTTTTGTTCCCCTCGGGAAGATTTACTCAGGATGACTCACCGTATTAGGTTCGTGACTCCGGTATGCTCGGTCAAGTTTGGATTCATTTCTCCTCTTTTCTGAGTTTTTACGATGTGAATTTTCAATCCGAGATTTCTCCAGTGAAGTTTTCGTTCGGTCTAATGGAAGTTCTTTTTCCCGAGAAGATGGTACCATAATCACTCTTGAAGAACGCAGATCCCTGGTTTCTCTAGTGAAGAACGTAATTTAGATTTTTCCTTTGTGAATGTGGTGTTAACCTCCCCAATGAAGTAGGCATGAATTCCCCAGTGAATGTTTTGATGATTTGGTGTCCATCTGCTTTACTTGAGACTGGTTTTGCAATCCCCAGTAGAAGTGTTACTTTTGAAAACATTTGTTTCCCCAGTAAAGCCTGAAGATGGATGTTCTATCTCTGTATCTGTACTATTCTATCACTTTGTTTTGTTTACTTCCGAATTATGTTTCTCCCTAGTAAAGCTAAAGCAAGCAGTAGGTTTTTTTTCCTCAGTTGGCATTTACTTTTTCTTGGAATGATTATCTTGGATGTGGTTTAGACGAGTGTTGTTTGTGCCAGAGTTGGTTTTGCATGGTTATTCCCAGTGTTGTATATTTGTTTTGTCACCATACGCACGATAACACTCATACATTCATACATACATCATGCATAGCTAAAATTGACAAATCATTGTTCATTGACATTTGTTAATAGTTTTGTTGACATATCACCTTGTTTTGCAGAGTTACGTTATCCTCTCTTCAATAGAGTGTTGGCCTTAAGCAGAAAGCGTATATTCTTTCAATTTCCCCACTGAGTTGTGCCTCATGGAATATTTTTGCTTTAGCATTCCTGTACAGCTCCTTGTTTGGATGGATTTGGTTTTCCCTCTTTAGTTTATTTCTCAAAGGATGTATTTTGGTTGACTGTTCCATTCCAGTTTATTTCTGGTTTGAATCTTTGGTTCCACAACAACATCATTTACTTTGGATTTTTGAAAGCTTCGAGTATTCGTTTGTGCATTTATTTTGCACGAGAAGACTTTATCTCCTCAATAGGAATATCGTGGCATTTCCCCAGGAAGTAATATTTCATTCCCCGGGAAGCCATATTTCTATCCCCGGAAAGTCATTTCTTTTTTTACAATCCTCCATGACATTAAGTAGCAGGTCTCTTTATTTGAGAAACTTGTGCTTCCCTGTAAAAGTCGACGTAAATTTGTTTTGCTATCTCCTCTATGAGTGGATAGTTTGCAGTTCGTCGTCATTTTATGCCAGTGGATGGCAAGACTTTCAAATTCGTAGAAACAACTCATTGTGAAATATTTGCAAGTGGAAGTCTCTTTATTTGAGACAACTTACATATTACCCTTTCCAGACAAAGTGTCTCGGTTAAAGAAGAAGTTGAGACCCGTTCTAGGAGAAATGCCATAATTTTAGGGAAACTTGTTATCTTTTTGCTACCTTCAGTGAAAGTTGGTAGATCACCATCAGTGAAAGTTCATGTTTGTTATCTTTTTGCTACCCTCAATGAACATTGGTAGTTCATCGTTAGTGAACGACAGTGCTATGATATATTCTCTTTCTACCTTCAGTGAAAGTTGGTAGATCACCATTAGTGAAAGTTGGTGTTTGTTATCTTTTTGCTACCCTCAGTGAATGTTGGTAGTTCATCATTTGTGAACGACGGTGCTATGATATATTCTCTTTCTACCTTCAGTGAAAGTTGGTAGATCACCATCAGTGAAAGTTGGTGTTTGTTATCTTTTTGCTACCCTCAGTGAACGTTGGTAGTTCATTGTCAGTGACCGACAGTGCTATGATATATTCTCTTTCTACCTTTATTGAAAGTTGGTAGGTCATTGGCAGTGAACGTTGATGATTGTTATCTTTTTGCTACCCTCAGTGAACGTTGGTAGTTCATCATCAGTGAACGATGATGCTATGATATATTCTCTTTCTACCTTCAGTGAAATTTGGCAGCTCAACGTCAGTGAACGTCGGTGTTGTTATTTCTTTTCCTTCTACCTTCAGTGAAAGTTGGTAGCTCACCGTCAGTGAACGCCGGTGTTGTTATTTCTTTTCCTACTACCTTCAGTGAAAGTTGGTAGCTCACCGTTAGTGGATGTCGGTGTTGTTATTTCTTTTCTTTCTACCTTTAGTGAATGTTGGTAGTTTACCTCCAGTAGGAGTTGGTGTATCCTTTGACCATTTTACCATCCTTTTTGAGTCGGGTCTTTTGATCCACCAGTGATTTATTTTCCTGGTCAGGTCGCTCTCTTGTTTCTTTATTATTGTTACATCCCCAATGGTGTTTTGCGTCTCTTTGGTCTTGTTCATATGAATTAATGATCATAAACATTTACATGGCATATTAGGGCCAAAAATAAGGTTTGTTTTGTATTTAAGTATCTTCGATCAGGTCGACACAAAGATTTTTAACCTTCGTATCTCCGGATAGAAGAAACTTAAATAATGGCAGCTGTTGTACCACAATTTTTGCCCCAAATATCCCTTCATCATACCATTTTAACTACAAGAAAATTGGCAGATTGCGACATGTATTTTTGTAGATTACAACGGTTAAAACCGTCGCAATTTGCTTTCCACGACGGTTGCTTTACCGTCGCAGAAGTGTGTGTCCCCAACCTATTTTGCGACGGTTACAAAAACTGTCGTTCAAGTTTACGACGGGTTTGGAGCTGACATAATCAAGTATTGGTGACTGTTTGATACCGTCGTGACTATCTTTTGAGTTTCTTTTAATTATTGATGGCGACGGTTCGATACTGTCGTGAATATCTTTTGAAATTGATTAAATTGTTTATGGCGACGGTTCGATACCGTCATGACTTTTGTTGATTATTTTTAATTGTTGATTACGACGGTTCGGTACTGTCGCCATGACTTTTGTTTATGTCTTGATTTTTTTTAATTTTTCTATTATATATATTTTTTATTTAAATTATTATCTATGTAAAAAATTTTAAATATAGTTTTTTTTTGTGTTATTTTTTTCTTTAAATTATTTCTTCTTTAATATATTTATTTATAGTATTATTTTTTGTTTTATTTTCTATCACTTTGTAATATAGTAAAAATAATTTCAATAAAAAATATTTAACATCAAATAAGCATTATAATATCCAAAAAAATGTGTTCCATAATCATGTAAAATGCGAGTTCCATAATCATGTCAAGTAGTACAAAAAACCCAAAATATATCAATTCCTAATCTTATAATAATAAGTATCATTATGCCAAAAATACATGAGAAAGTTCACAATCTAATTATCTCGATCATAGCAAAGTCTTATTTGTCCCCCCTGAAGTTCCATTATCTCCAATACGGTAGCTAGACTCAGATGAACGTCTACCATCAGCGGGTGATTCCAATCCCTAAAAAAAGGTATTAAAATAATAATATTTAAAATAATACTCATAAAATTTAACTTTAAATGCGTCAAAATAATATACCTGTCTTCCACTAAAATTCTGCATTTGCATTAAGAGTTCAATTTCCTATGATGAACTCCTTTTATCTAGTTATTATGCAAATTTGTCACTCACAATAGAACCCGATGAATGATGATAAAATGTTGTAGAACCCTTAGGGTGATGATAAACAACACCAGTGCGAATGCTGGAGCTGCAATAGGCTTTGCCTAACATCTTTCCTTTGAGCAAAAGCAACATACAGTGGTTTTCTGTGAAACATGCGTCCTGTGGCATATAACATCAATTTAAATAATCAATAAGTAACATTTGCGTATCCAAAAAAAAAATATGACATAACAGAAGTATTGGAGAATATTGTTCTAAATGGATTTGATACTTGAATAAAAATATTTTAATATGATTAGAAAATTTCTTTAAAGGAAGTAAGTAACAATGATGTAAATTTTTTAGATCAGAACTTAATTAAAATTCAGAACATAGAAAGTAGCATGTGATATAGATCTAATCTCTCAAGTTATAATCCAATAAATATAACATAACATGCAGTATTATTGAAACATGATAGTGATCAGCACATTTTTCAAACTTCATAGTACAACGAAAACATATCTATGCAAAAAATGATTCTTGACCAAAACATTAAATCCTATCACCTTAGTGGCTTACAGATTCAAAGAAACTTTACTCACCATGAAAACTGTTCACAGCCTTAACAGCCTCATCCAGGGTAGAGAAACAGACAAACCCAAAGCCTTTGCTTTTTCCTTTGTCATCTCGCATAACTTTTGCAGAAGTTATTGTGCCACAAGCACTAAACTGACTCTTTAGTTCTTCGTCACTAACACTATCATCAATGTTCTTCACATAAATGTTTGATCCCTGAAAGTTAAAATGGTGGCAAACTAAGAAAGCTGAAATTAATTAGTCAACTGTAGGAAAAAGGGTATGGAATTACCTTGTATTTCAAGTTTTTCTCCATGCATCTTTCTGCAAACCACTGATGCAAGATCTTCTCACGTTCAACCTTTTTTTGTGCTCTTGCAACATACAGGTTCTTTGAACCTAGTTATGACAAATCAAAACCAGATATACACAGAGAATCAACATCCAGAAAAGTGCAACTTTGAGCATAAAAGACCTATGTACTAAAAAGATAAGTAAATTACCAAATTGTGATCCATTCATTGCTTTCGTTGCTCGTCTTGCATCATCCGGGTTTTCATAGTTCATAAATCCAAAACCTTTTGACAACCCCTTCTCATCCTTTACAATAGCCAAGCTAAGAATTTTTCCAAAAGATGAGAACTTTTCTTTAAGAAGTGCTTCGGTAATATCTGGGTCCAAATTCTTAACGTACAAGTTTGTATATTTGGCATCAGGTTCAGGCAAAGAGCGCTCACTTTTTTTGATAAATTTCCCAACATATCTGTGAGAAGAAATGGAATCAGATTATCAAAACCAATCTTAAGATAACTAAAAGAGCAATTAACAAATTCAAAAGAGAAAACATACATATGGAACTGAAGGAAAATTTTAACAAATTCTAAAACAATTTCACATACATCTGCTTATCTCTCACAGTAGAGCCATTCATTTTCTGGATAACATCATTTGCAGACTCCTCTGAACCAAACTGTATATAACCAAACCCTTTGCTCTTCCCATCTTCAGAGATGACAATTTTGCTAGACAAAATATTCCCATATTCTTGAAATAAATCATGCAGTCCCACATTATCTATCGATTCCGCTAAGTTCTGTAATAACATTAACACCGCAAAGTTTCCATTAGAATTCACATCAAACATAAAAAGAAAACAGAATATCACCATTTAAGAATTTCACAATTCACATCAAACCTATAAACCCTATAACATACCTTAACAAACACATTCCCTTTGCCACACTCATCCAAAGCCTCCTTGAGAGCACTTTCTGCCCTATCCCACATTTCATCATCTCCAAGCTTATTCTCTGGCCTCTACTCAAGTATTTAACACAGGCAAGGCAAAATAAATAACTGAGTCATTAAATAGATTAAACCAATTACTAACAGCAGAGTCTACCAAGCTTATCATGTACTACTATATCATGTATCAGAAGAAAAGAAAATAACAAGAAAGCTAGTTCTTTTTATTGAGGCCATATTCCCAATTATTAACTGTTCCTACTAATGTTATTTATTCACAAACTTCATCATATTTCAAACCATAGAGAAGTGTTCCTACTAATGTTATTTATTAAACATATAAACAAAACATGTACCATAGGAAGAGAAAGACTGGTAAGATACGATCAAAATGATCTATATCAGATGACGCTCTTAGAAGGAATAATTGCAACAAAGAAACAAATAATGAAATTATCAAATCAGAATTAACTTACATTCCACCAAATCCCTCTCTTTCGACTCAATCCGCAACCCAAACTCGTCAATAATCTTGTGAAACTTAATGACATCGCCTTGAAGCATTTCCTTCTCTTTGTCGAGTAAATCCTTCTGAGAAGGAGCAGACCTCAATCCCTCCAATTGAGCCTCCAATTCAGAGACCTTTTGTTCAGCGGCAGCAAGGGTGTTGTCAGCGTTAGACTTCTCACGGAGAATCCTGGTGCGGATTTCGTGGTCGAGTTCGGAGATGGCTTCATCGTCACCTCTAATGAAATTTAGATAAGCGTTGAGAGAATACTGGAAGACGATGTTGTTGGTTTGGAGGGTGGTGGTGTGGGAGGGAGAAGAAAAAGAGAGATGAATTTGACAAGACTGAACAAGCCAATGAATGAGGGCGAGAATGGAAGGCCATTGATGAGGTGCAGCGGGGGATTTGAGAACAGATTTATTGAGTTTATTGCAAAATTTCTGTCACAAATTTATTGATATACTTCTTCCTAATACCCTCTTTAACAAGCTCTTGATATTCACTGAAATTCCCTCTCATATCTAACAGAACACTGCACAATCCTTGACGATTACAATAATCCAAGATCACATCAAGATTTATTTGATCCACAGATACAGTTTTAATTCCTTGTTGAGTCTCCTCGGGAGCTGTTGTTATACAATCTGTAAAGATTATCATTTTATCAGTAACGTTATCGGTTATAAATGGAATTTGATTTGAAGAACCAGAACTAGAATCTCTATGCATTATAAACCGAATGGGTTGATTGGCTCCAGGTTCTTGAGATGAAGGTACGGAGTCGACCGATAAAGTTTCACGGAATAAAGAAGAGGATAATATAACTGCATCATATTCTTGTAATAGCCTAGAATAGTATCCACCAGAGTGAGTTACTCCATTCCCAAGTGAGTCCAACAAGTTTCCGTTGACAGAAAGAGAATACCTGTAATGCAGAAATAGCTCCAAATGAATGTTTAGAGAAAAGCAAGTTGGAGTATATGTGTAAAAATAGAGATGAAAATGAATTACCTCAAAGTAAGCAGAGGCTTCCGGGTCAACATGTGATGAATATAACCCTCATTGAGGCCCTTACACAATTCTTCCTCAACACCAACAACAACTTCAATTCCAGCACCTCTCAATCTATCTAACCCTTTGGAAGCCACGATAGGATTTGGATCCACCATCCCAACAACAACCTTTTTAAGTCTAGCTTTAATGAGAGCTTCAGTGCAAGGCGGAGTCCTCCCAAAATGATTACAAGGTTCTAAAGTGACATACGCCGTTGCATTCTCGTCCAAATCAGCAGGATCTCTCAGAGCAAACACCTGAAAAATCTCAGAAATAGAAATGCAGTGACACGAAAATGATGATTTGAATTCAAAGAGTGTGAAACAAGTCTCACCTCAGCATGAGGTTGACCAGGTTTAGGATGAAAACCTTGGCCAACAATTTGACCATCTTTGACAATAACACATCCAACTAAAGGATTGGGGCTTGTACACCCCAAAGCCTTTCTGGCGAGCTCAACGCTTTTCCTCATGTAAAATCCATCGACATCACCATCATCGTCACGATTCTTTTGGGAACGAATGACATAGCTACTCTTCCCACGAGTTAGTCTTTCCCTGAATGTAAGTGATTTGGAAAAGCCATGAATAAAATTGAGGGGAATAGGTGGATGAGGAGAGGCATTGATGCATAATGTGGAATGGTAAAATGGAACTGAAACTGCTACTGATAACCCCATTGCTTGCATGGTTGGAATGATGCGAAATGTGATTTGGTTTGGCACTCCGATTCACAAACAAACCTCTGTGAAAGAGTGATGGAAAGGGCAGAGATTTAAGAGGAGCAGAACAGCGTCAGCAACGTGATCCGCGCTAATTTGTTTTTTCCTTTTCATGCACAATATTCCATTGACAAGACTGAACAGATTTATTGAGCCCGACGAGGAAGATTAGGGTTTGGTGAATGTGTTTAGCGGAAGGAGAGGAAAAAGGTTTGAAAGAGACATTCAAATCCTGAGAGGCCAGGAATGAATTGATGGTTGCGGTTGCATTCTGTTGGTACGAACGGTCTTTGTAAACGTCGAGAGAATGGATTCCGACGGAGGATGGACGGCTACTGGCTAAACTCACGTCAGAGTCACGGTGGCTGTTTAGTGGAGTTGGTGGTAAGTAGGCCGACTCTTTCGGTTGCCGATGAACGTTGCTGCTTCCGCCGGGAGGTCTCATCTTCTTCCGACGAACGAAGGGATTGTAACAGTTTGGGAGGAATGGTGAAAGCGGGTTTCAAAACTTTAGGGTTCTTCTTTGGAAGACCCATATGAACCTTAGGTCGAGAATTCTTGTATTTTCTTCGTGAGTAGAAAAAGTGAACGCAGGAGTAGAAAGTGAAGAGCTTTTTAACTTTTTTACGGCGACGGGTGTTTTACCGTCATGCCCATGAGAATTTTTAATGGTTTTGGGTGCGACGGTTGTTTTACCATCGTGAAATGAATTTTAGGACGGATAATTTTACCGTCGTGAAAGGTTTAAGGGTGCGACGGGTGCTTTACCGTCGTGATATGCCTTTTAGGACGGTTAATTTTACCGTCGTGACTCGTTGTTGGTGAAAAATCAATGTTAAAAGTGTTAAATGGGGGCCGACGGTTGTTTTACCGTCGTAATAATAATATTATGATGGTTAATTATACCATCGCAAAATAAATATTAGGGACGGTTGGTGTCAACTGTCATAAACACTGTCTCTATATGTCAATTACGACAGTTATCACATAACTGTCGCAATTTTTGTGTCGTTAAACACTAATTTTCTTGTAGTGTTTGATTCCATTACAATAAGATCACACTAGGATTCTTGGTTCCCCTCCCTATATTTAGCTTTGTACTTTGATGAATCACCAAGCACCTTGGCTTGTTTTCTTTTGTGATCATGAATGTTTTATCTTAATTTTCTTTTAATTAATAAAATGCAATTTTGGTTTGTCTTACTTGTTAATAATGTAGGTAAAGGCAATGTGGCTTAGCAAGTTGATCCATGGGTTCATGAGTTTATTTTCAGGCTCTAGTCAATAAAGCTTGAGAAGTTCAAGCCTCACCATTGAAGTTGTTTTAGAGAAAATGGTATGACAAGCTTATTTTGGTTCACCATATTTCAAGATTATTAAGTTTGATCCAAAAAGTAAAAGGGGTTGATTGAAAAAATAGTCATGGTTGGACAAGGTCTTGTTCCCATTGGTCACAAGTGCATATTTCTCTCAATTCTCAAGATATGGAAGTGGTTGTGGTTGCTATGAGTTCTCCTTATCATCCTCAACAACTTCTATTTACAAAGCATTTGTTTTGGTACAAGAAGTTGGTTCAAAATTGTCAAAGTTCCTCAAGGCATGTTTCTTAATCTAGGAGCTAGGGTTTTGAACTTCAAAGGAGTATATCTTGCCCATCTTTTGGTATTTTTGAGTGATTACAAAGACATCATTCTATTCAAAGGTTTATTAATAAATCACTTCAAAAGTTCCAAGGATTTTTCATGTGGAAGACACTTGATGAGGAAGAAAGATTACAAGTCCTCCAGATGAATCCCCAATTTTTCATGTGTGACTTCAAATGATCATAAATTGGTCAATTGTTATCACCTTGAGCCCATTCTTTTTCCATAATGATCTTTAAGATATGAAATTTATGCCTTATTTTATGTTTTTAGTGAGAAAATGGATTGAAGTTGCCTTAAGGATACAAAAGATTATATGTCATTTCATGATTTTTTGCCAACTTCAACAATTCGTAACTCTCTCAATTTTTGGAGATTTTGAATGGTTCAAGTTTAAAAATGTCATTCAAGATATCAACTTCATGCCATATTTTTTGGCCAAGAGCAAATTCCAAGTGAAAGGCTATGTTTGGATGCAAGACATTATATGTCACTTTTAAAGAAAAATTTGAAATATTTCGAAGTATGGAAAGTCAACATTTTTCCCCAACTTTGACTCAACACAACTTTCAGCTCAAGAATCCATTTTATTCCATTATTTTTCCATTTCAAATCTTGTAACCTCATCTTTCTAAATCATCAAGAATCATTCCCTAAGACCCCTTGAGCTGAGAATGCCATCGTTCAGAAGTTGGCACTTTAAAACTGAATTTTTCACCAAGTCAGAAGTTTGGAATCTTTGTTTTGGCTTCTAATCACAAGTTTTCCACGCGTTTTTTCCTCTAAACATGTTTAGTGAAGTTCAAGAATTGTTTAGAACCTCAAAACGCAAGGATTGGATGAGTTTTGGTGAAAATTAGATCACACTTCACTGGTGCATCAGGTTTGCACGAATTCCCTCCAAAATGAATCATTCTCTCTTCCTTTGGATCCCATTTGCTTCTCCTATAAATAAATGAACTATCCCATTCATTTTCTCAAGCTTGGATAGCAGAATCACCCTGCCAAACTTGTTCCATAACTCAGAATTCAGCAACTTCGAAATCCATATACAAGCCTTTTTCAATCCAATTTTTTCATCAATTCACCTTCCTCGATCTTCCCTGAAGCTAACCATATAATTAAATTCAAGAATTGTACCCTATATTGCTCCATAGAAGTCCAGTTTCAGAGCTCTGCAACTGAACTTCAATAGGTAGATTTCTTCATCAATTCTTCAAAACTTAAATATCATTGTGATGCTTTCATTTCCCTGGTTCTAGTCGCAACACTTACCTTTTACTGGAAACAGGTTTTGACCATGAAATTTCAAATCCTTTTTCAAAACTTTCTTTCCAAATTGCTTGAGCTACAATTTATATAAATTTGGCGCGAGGGTGTGGTTGTCTTTGTCTTGAAGAGACAAAGCGAATGGCATATGTCTGAGCTTCTGATTTTATAGTTTGAGAGACCTGCAATTCACGTTGGCTGGAGGTTGAAGATGACTAACGTGTCATCTTCCAACCAATGATGGCACGCCACTTGTTATTTTTGAATTCTGATTTAATAATTGATTCAGTGCTTTAATCACTAATGACTATGATATGCACAGCGCGCCAGATCTCTTGGATTTGATTACTAATGCGTTTTGACTCTCATCTAATAGTCCACATTTTTTCACTTTTATTTTCTTTTCTGATTTTTTATATTTAATTGTTTTAAACTTCAAAAAATCATAGAAAAATCATTTTAAATCCAAAAAATCTGAAAAAATTATGAAAAATATTTTTGATAATTCTATTTCTGATTTTTATTTTTTCACAATTTAATTTTGTGTTTTGATATTTTTTATGAATTTACACTTTATTTGAATTGTTTTAAATGTTTAAAAATACTTTTATGCATTTTTAAATTCTGAAAAAATTATGGAATGATCCAATGATATTGTGACAAATATTGGTGACCTTATTTTATTTTTGTTTCTGACTTTGTCATTTTTTTTAATCATTTTTGATTTATTTTACCCCTTTCTTTTAATTTTAAAAATAGTTTCTACCTTTAAAAAATTACCAAAAAATTTATAAAGTCATTTGAGCCCTTTTCTGATTTTTCTATGGTCTTACTTTTTATTTCTTGATTAATTTGAACATAGTTGATATTTTTCTCTTTTATTTCTATTTTTAAACATTATTTTTAAACCTTTTTGTATATATTAAAATGTAATATTATTTTGTGACTATTTTCTGGCTGATCTTGGGTTAAATATTTGATCATGAACTTTATTAACATCATTGGATCCATGGTGTTGAGTCTAACTCCACAAAAATGGATGAATGATTTTAATAATAGTTTGATTAAATTTAATCCAAAAGTGGTTTGTATATTCTCTCTCACCCCCTTCATCTCATCCCCTTCTTATTGCACTAAATGTTGTTGGAGCATGATCTCTATATCATATCTCAAAAAAAATGGTGCATAAATTGCTATTGACCGGCCTCAAAATAGGTGCGACTTCTATATAAGTCCACTTACGATTGCTTAACATAGCGCTAAATTTTGTCCCGATTCGAAAAAATGATCATTCGTGGCCCAAACTTATGTTTGCAAGCCCAAGTATGTTAATTTGATCTCTTTGATCCAATAACCTTGAGATTCATTATGTGGAGGATTTGATTCTACCAATCCTCTAATGGATCTACAATACATTTGGTCAACGCGGATCACTTAAACATCGTTAATAATTAAATGTTACTTTTGAGGATTCCAAATGGATGATATACTTGACAAAAAGCAAATGCAACTTGTTGTGTGGAGCTTTGGTTCTACCAATCCTCTAATGAGTTCCAAATGCAAGTTTCAAGATGGTAATCCAACTATTCACTAATTACTAATAATTAATTTTATTTTGTGTTTTTATTTTATGCTCTTTACTTTATGCACCATTTACTTTTAGCATTTACATTTCAAGTTATTTTCATCTTTGCTCATTTGAGTATTTACTTTCTTGTCATTTTTATTTTTTCTCACTTGAGTTTTACTTTTCTTTTTAAAAAAAACCCAATAATCAACACAAACCCTAAAAATCATTAATGATACATGGACTATTTGGTTACTATCCTTGGCATTATAGAGCGTTGGACTTTTGTTGGACTTAGGATTAGAAATCTTGGCCTATGATTGGAGACCTTGTGATCTTATCTAATTATTTTGTCTGGAGATTGAGTTGTTTGTTTGTTTTGTGTGCAGGTTATTATGGTTACACCATTTGTTTGTAATATGGAATTCACCCGTATACAGCCGTTACTCTGCCCAATTTTTATGAAGACTTAATACACTTGAAGTTTG